GCGCGGCGGCGTAAACAATTATATAAGTGGTAGTGTTGGAAGGATTCGCAAAGCCACCGTCATCTCCATTCCTGATCCAGAACGTGTAGCGGTGGTGGCTGTGGAGTACCGTTGGTGGTGGTGTAACTGTTCTAGCGACAGTGGTGGTGTAGCATGATTGCTGGCAACCATTGTAGGAGTGAGTGGTGGTGTTCGGCAGTCGTACAGGTGCTCGTTCGTAGAATGTGGAGGCGTCGGTGGTGGTGGCGCTGGGGGCGCCTCCACCAACGCCGCCAACGTCACCGCCGCCCCCATCATCCTGGCCCAGAACGGATGGCGGTTGTGGCGGTGTAGTCTTGGTTGTGGAGTAGCGCTGGTGGTGGTGGAGGCGTGGTGGCATCTGCGGCAGCATGGGTAGAAGCACTCGTAGAAGTGAGTGGTGGTGGTGGTGGTAGGAAAGGCCAAATCCACTACCACATCCACCACCGCCAGCCCCTTGATCAGAGAAGGGTAGCGGCGGCGGCAGAGGAGAAGTGCTGTTGCGGGGGATCGGACACACATTCCTTCAGTGGAAGAGTAGAGGGTTTTGTTAAAACTTTCTTCGTTGTGAATACAATGGTATTCCTTCTGTAGGGGGTGTCAATAAAACTCCTTCTGGACAGGGTTTCAATATAATTCTTTTCTGCGAAGGACGTCAATATTATTCCCTTGATGAGGATTTCAATGGTCGTCCTTTGTAGATGATTCCGTTAGGATTCCTTTTTTAAAAAAGGATTTCAGTTGGATTCTTGTTGTAAAGGATTTAAAGACGTTTACTTTTGTACAATGTTTCAACCGGATATATTGTGTAGAGGATTTCAATGGGATTCTTTTTGCCGGCTTCAATACAAAAAACCTCGTGTACCCGATTTCCATGGATTCTTTCTGTCACAGTTTCATCATGATTCTTTTTGTAGCGGCTTCCACTCGGATTCCTTATGTCACGGCTTTCAAGAGGATTCCTTTTGTCACGGCTTTCAATCGCATTCTTTTGGTAGAGGCTTTCAATCGGAATCCTGCTAGACGGGCTTTCAATCGGATTCCTGTTGTAGAGGCTCTACATCGGATTCCTGTTGTAGCGGTTTTCTATAGGATTCATTGTGTAACGGATGTCATTCGGATTCCTCTTGGAACGGGCTGCAATAGGATCCCTTTTGTAACGGATTTCAATCGGATTCCTCTTGTAACGGGTTTAGTTCGGATCCTTTTTGTAACGGCTTGCAGCACGATTCCTTATGCAACGGTTTTCGCTTCAATTCTTTATGTAACAGTTTTCCGGGGTTCCTTTTGCAGGGGATTTCAGTAGGATTTTGTTTGGAAGGGTTTTCAACAGGATTTCTCGTTCAATTGCTTTCCATCGAATTCCTTTTGTGGTGGATTTCAATAGGATTCCTGATGTAGAGGATTTCAATACGTTTCCGTTTGTGGTGGGCCTCATCAGAATTCTACCCAAATCGCTTTTCCCGCATGTCTTATGATTTGTTTCGACAAATTGTCTGAATAATAAACAGGTTTCGCTTGTGATTCCATCAGTTGTTTTTAACTCCACTGGTTTGTTCAGGGAGTCTCAAGCGGAACTGTTGTTCCTGCATGATTTGTCATGTGCTTAAGAACCAGGGTTCGCTTGAGACTCTGTGAAAATGCACGCCGGCTGAAATCATTGGATCAAGAAAATTCTGAGGGAGTCACAGGCGAAACTTGTTTTTCGATTACCAAAACATAAATAAAAAATAGGAGGAGAGATTCTGGTAGTATTCTGATATGCTAAATTCCGTTTGTAGCGGATTTCGGTAGGATTCTTTGTGTACAGATTTTCCTTATGATTCTCGTTTGGGAGATATTTCGACATAGTTCTTGCTGCAAAGATTTCCAAATTGATAAAATGAGAGAGGTAAAACAACAGAGAGAGAGAAGCACAAAAAAAGAAAGACGAGACAGAAGAAGAGGCAGTTAAGAAAGACAGCCTACACATGGAAAGACGAGACAGCAGAAAAAGACGGAGACAGACAGCAGACAGACGCTTCCGAATCGCCCCGAAACCACCCCTCCAGAAGTGACTGCTCTCGAGGAGAAGGAGGAGGAAGAGGAGGAGGAGGAGGAGGAGGAGGAGGAGGGTTCCTCGGGTTCCTCGTTGCTCGGAGGTTCCTCGGGTCCCTCGGGTTCCTCAGGTTCCTCGTTGCTCGGGTTCCTCGGGTTCTGCGCCCATGCAAAAGAAAGTTTTCCCCTAATTGGGGTTACACCAGGCTCATGTTCATTAATTTGCATTGCTTTGCACCGCCTAGAATTTACCCAATACGCTGCAAGAAAGCATTGTCGGGGGTCCACGCTGGCCAACATGTGCTTCTAATCACTGGAGCTCCCCTCACCCTCAGGGCACTGGATAAAACCAGGACGTTGCAGATTTCAGCTAGAGCGATCGGAAAATGGAGGATGGTTCGACCCACGGCTGCGGTCCTCGGGCTCGTGTGCGCCAAGGCCTTGGCTTACAGCAGGCTCGCCAAACAAGAAAGTGCCCTGTCAACGGTTCCCCGCCAGAATGTCTCATCGCCCGATGGGCCCGCAGAGCCTTGGGGCACCCCACCACGCTCAGAGTCGACGAAGAATGTGTTCCTCGATTTCGTATAGCAAGCCTTCTTATCGTACGTGCCTGCTTTGCCAGAGTCCCCGTTCCCCGTTTATGGCGCCCTGGTCACCCTGCTGCTCTTGCTCCTCCTCCTCCTCCTCCTCCTCGCCCCTCCTCGCCCCCCCTCCTCCTGTTCCTCGCTCCCCCGATAGTGCCCTCGTGCCCGATGGCCTTCACTTCCGGGCCTGGCGAGTGGGTCAGAGACCCCAGATGCTTTACGATTGTCTGCTCTGGATTATGAATGGCTGCCCGATGCTTTCGTGTTTTTCAGAATCGCTAAAACTGTTTCTCCCGAAACCTCTTGCTGTCGAAGCTGATGAGCTCGAGGCCCTCGCCAGATCTGCCGGCCACACTCGCCCTCTAGGCCTGAAGCAAATATGGCCAACAAAATATCCGGGGGCATTTTGAATCGAGCGATCCGCCCGGCTCTGCGTGGGCTGGCAGCGCGCTGCCAGAGGGACTTTTACCCCTTGGCGAAATTTTGCTAACAATATTGTCGACCTCGACACGGTAGCACGCATGGCTAGAATCCGCTCGAGCGCGTTTCGCTCACAAGCGGGAGACGTGCACTGATCCAAAAGCTGTGTTGCGCCGATTGATGGGACGGCGACAGATCCTGGGGCTCTTGTGTCGCCGTCGTCGCTTCTGTCATTCGACTTCGCACAGGCCTTCCGTGCGGCAAGAGTGGATGCTCATGAGTCTTAAGTGTTATAGGCTGCTGTTTGGTTTCCTCCTCTTAATTTCTGTGCTCCACCGCCTTGCTTATTGCTACTTTATCATCGCTGGTGTGCTGGAACTCATCGGTTGGATGCACTCAGGTGTCTTGCAAGGCTGTCCTCTCAGCGGCACAGTCTTCATCTTTGCGGTTAACCCGCTTCTCGAAGATATCACCATGCATGCAGATGCCAATGAACGAGGTTGCACTCGAGCTTGTGCTGATGATGTGGGGATTGTGGTGTGGAGGCGGCGGGACAGGGATACTTCGCTTTAGCCCGTATATTCGCGCTTGCCAGGAAGCTGGCCAATTTAATATTAATATCGTCGAAGTGCTGTCCCCCTCGATGGCCCTCTTGAGTCGGCGTCGTCCTCCCTCCGCGCCATTCTCTCTGAAGCCGGTGCTGATTGGGCGGCCTTTAACATATTCGGCAAGCTAGTTTATATAGGAGTTTGGCTCGGATCTGCGGCGACCTCCCTGGATCAGCGGAGTGGGCCTGCCCAGAAGCTCCTGTCCAGAACCATTGAGATTGCCTCCTCAGAAGCCCACGACCAATCCGTAGAGGTTTATGTGCAGCGTGCCCTCCCCTTGCTTTCGTACGAAGCCCCGCTGTTCTTTATGCCCCGGGCCAGGGCAGTGCGTGAGAGGATTCTACTTGCTCGCCCTATGCGCGCCCCGTGCACGATAGTCTCGCACCCTCAAGTGGTTCGAACTCCAGTCCTGGGGGCTACCTGGGTCTGCCCAGTATCCTCTCCATGAATGCGGCCGCGCTGATGCGGTGCTCGTCGGCGACACCCTCGACTTGGCAGACTCAGATCGCCCGCCTGCGGACGCCCGTGGTCTCTCAGGGGCCCGCAGCATGGTGGCAGTCTCCGCGGCACGCCCCCGAGTTTTGGCAGTCCGAGGCAATCGCTAGCACCCTCGGGTGGGCCTCCCTGGGCCTTCTCGCTCGTCCTGCCTCCTTCGATTTCCCCGCCCGTCCTCGTTCTCGCCTCGTCCAGCGCGCTCTTACAGAGGGTGGCTGCCCTGCACGTGTTTCGAGACCCCCGCGATTCGAGAAGTGAAGGGGAGTCCGCGGTGGGAGGGGAAGTTCAAGAGCTTTGCTTCCTCGCTCGCATCCTCGTCCGTACCCGTCGTCACTCTGTTCCCTCCGTCGACTAGGATGGGACAGAGGATGCCACGATGCAGCTGCTGCGTTTGGCCCCCCCCCCCCCCCCGCATGGGCCCAGATTGCTCGCGCCGATCGTGGATGCCCTTGATAACGTCAGCACATGTAGTAGCCGTAGGTGGCCTCCACGGCTCTGCACTCGTTTCTCCCGGGGTAGCATCTCTTTCTCCTTGGGCTTCGTGGTGGTTCTCTGGCCTTTGCGCGTGCGTGTCATCACACACATCGCTTAGAGTCCCGGGACGCAAGTCTCCCAAGCCGACCATTTGATCGACGCCGTGAGGTTGGCCACACGTCTCCCAATGCGGAGGCGTTAACGGCATCTGTTGTGCCGAGCCTCCCTCGAATCCATCGTGGAGCAGGCGGCGCGGCTGGGAAGGGAGGTAGTGGTAGTGCTGTTGACTTCCCCGCTCCGCCTCCTCCTCGACGCCCCCCGCTCACGGGGCCCCGCTCGCCCGACGGCCCCTCCCGCGCGGCAGGTGCCTCCGCCAGTGGCTCCGCACGTCCGTGCACACCGCCGGGGTGCCGCGCTGCCCAGGCGGCTGCACCGCAAAGGTGCTTCGGCGTTATCCGTCGTCGTCGTCGTCGTCATCGTCGTCGTCGTCGTCATCATGGTCGTCGTCGTCGTGGTCGTCGTAGTCGCCGTCGTCGTCGTCGTCGTCGTCGTCGTCGTCGTCGTCGTCGTGGTCGTTGTGGTCGTTGTGGTCGTTGGTCGTCGTCGTCGTCGTCGTCGTGGTCGTGAACGTCGTCGTCGTCGTCGTCGTCATCGTCGTCGTCGTGGTCGTTGTGGTCGTTGTGGGCGTTGCGGTCGTCGTCGTCGCGGGCGTGGCCGTCGTGGTTGTCCTCCTTCGTCTCTCCGTGGGCGGTCTCCCTATTGGAGCGTGCACGACTCCGACATTCGCTTCGCTTCGCCTTCCTCCTCCTCCTCCTCATCTTCTTGTTCCTCCTCCTCTTCCTCCTGCCCCTTGCTCCTTCATCTGAAATGCAAGATCTCAGTGGTGCTTCTCTGCAGAAGGTGCCATTCCGCCTTCCGGCGGTCTCCGTGTCCCTGCGGAGCGCGATGGAGCAGCTCGTACCAGAGAGGCGAGAGGGGGAAGGGAAGTCGAGAGGAAGACGATGTGGGGGCCCGCGGGAGAGGGGAGGGGAAAGAGAGGACGGATGGAGAGAGGGGGGGGGTGAGGGCGATCGAGAGAGATGGGGAGGGCACGCGGGGGGGAAAGAGAAGCACAGGGGAGAGGGAACAGGGTGATGAAGAGAGCGAAGAGGAGAAGTGGGACGTGGAAGCGTTGGTGTAGAAAGCAAGGGTTGGTGGGGCAGGAAGAGCATGGGGAGTCGGAGGAGGAAATGGAGGAACTGGGCGAGGAGGAGAGGGAGAGGAAGAGCATGAGCATGATAAGAGTACATAGGAGGAGGAGGAGGAGGAGGAGGAGGAGGAGGAGGGAAGGGAAGGCAGGGGGCGGAGGACCAGAGGGAAACCAGGATGCAGCAATGAGAATTCAACACGCCCTCAACTCTCAAGTCAACTCTTCAGAAAACCATTCAGAATTCATGTTTTACCGTGCGGGGCACCCCTTTGAAAGACGAGCGCCCCACGCGCCTGCAATTCAGGCGAGAGTCGAGTTTGGGAAAGAGAGCCGCCATCAATCCTGAAACTACTAGAGATTTTCAGATGCAAACGCAACGTTCAAGGAGGCGTCAATATAGCGCACCAGTTTGATAATTGTCTGCACTCCAGTCATGGAGTGGTTTGGCATGCTTCCAGTTTCATGGCAGACAGTGTGACGTCGTCTCAAATGAGAGCCCGATCTTGCAAAGGATCTACCCTGCATCCGCGCAACAGTTGCACACGGCGATCACATGGTCGGGAACTGCACTTGCGATATGAGGATGCCATGTGCGAGAGTCTTGTAATGAAAAGGACGTGTCCTACAGCCACGGCGTGCCAGAGCGCCTTTCCTGGGACTTCAACACAGCGAATCAACATAACGGCTGTACCCGCATAATCCTGAATCTTTTCAAAACACCATTTCTGGCACGTTGATGATGAGAATCCGTCAAACCCTTGCACATGTTGTAAACGAATGTGCGCGGCGCTAAGGCGAGAACCACATCTCGAAAAGGTACCGGCTTCAATCCATGAAAGTCCTTGCAAATGTTTAAAACGAATGTGCTCCGCGCTCAGGCGAGAGCCACCTTTTGAAAACCACCCGCTCTCAATCCTTGAAACTCTTGCAGTGGTTATAAGCGAATGCGTGCCGCGCTAAGGCGAGAGCCACATTGTGAAAACGACCCGCCCTCAACCCGCGAAGCTCTTGCAAAGGTTTAACGAACGTGTGCCGCGCTAAGGCGAGCCATATTTTGAAAACGACACGCCTTCAATCCGTGGAATTCCTTGCGAATGTTCAAAGCGAGTGTGCTCCGCGCTAAGGCGAGAGCCACATTTTGAAAGCCACCCGCCCTCAATTCGTGAAACTCTTGCAAAAGTTTAAAGCGAGTGCGCGCCGCGCTACGGCGAAGGCCACATTTTGAAAACGACCAGCCGTACATCGGTGAAACTGTTGCCAATTGTTAAGCTTCAGAGTCACAAAAGGTGGGGAAGTCTCAGGCGAAACGCCCGGCCCGCCCTAAAAACTTGCTCCGGGGTGGGTCAGAGAGAAATGATCTATAAGGAAGAGGAATGTAGGAGGAGAAGGAGGATGAAGAGGAGGACGAGGAGGAGGAACAGCAGGATCATGAACAGGAGGAGGCGGATACGACAGGGAGGAAGAGGATGATGAGGAGGATACGGACGAAGCGAAGACGGAGGTGGGGGCAGAGGATGAGGAAGGGGAGGAGGAGGAGGAGGAGGAAGAGGAGGAGGAGCAGGAGGAGGAGGAGGTGGATGAGGAGGAGGAGGAGGAAGAAGAGGAGAAGTAGAAGGAAAGGGAGAAGGAGGAGGAGGAGGAGGAGGAGGAGTAGGAGGAGAAGGAAGAGGAGGAGCGGGAGGAGGAGGAGCAGGAGGATGAGGATGAGGAGGAGGAAGAGGAACAGCAGGACCATGAACAGGAGCAGGGAGGAAGAGGATGATGAAGAGGATACGAACGAAGCGAAGGCGGAAGCGGGGGCAGAGGAGGAGGAAGGGGAGGAGACGGAGGAGGAGGAGAAGGAGGAGGAGGAGGAGGAGAAGGAATTGGAGGAGGAGAAGGCGGAGGATGAGGAGGAGGAATCGGCGGAGGAGGAGGAGGAGAAAGGGAAAATGGAGGGGGAGAACGGGGAGACGGAGGAGGAGGAAGCGGACGAGGAGGAGGAGGAGGAAGAAGATTAGCAGGACCATGAGCAAGAGGAGGCGGATTCGGCAGGGAGGGGAAGGAGGACGAGGAGAAGGAGGAGGAGGAGGAGAAGGAGGAGACAGAGGAGACGGAGGAGGCGAAGGAGGAAAGGGAGGCGGAGGTTGAGGATGAGGAGGAGGGGAAGGAGGAGGAGGATGAGGAGGATGATGATGATGATGATGAGGAGGAGGAGGACAGAGAGTATGCTGCTGCTGATGATGCTGCTGACAATGATGATGATGATGATGATGATGATGATGATGATGATGACGATGATGATGATGATGATGATGATGATGATGATGATGATGATGATGATGATGATGATGATGATGATGATGTTGATGCTGATGCTGATGATGATGATGATGGTGGTGATGATACTGATGACGCGGACGATGAGGATGCTGATGTTTATGATCGTGGTGATGGTGGTGATGACGATGATGGTGATGGTGATGGTGGTACATGATGATGCTGCTGATGATGCTGCTGACGCTGATGCTGATAATGATGTGAATGTTGATGACGACGACGATGACGGTGATGATGATAATACGGATGATGATCTTGATGATGATGACGATGATGCTGCTGATGATGATGCTGATGATGCTGATGATGCTGGTGATGCCGATGATCATGATGAGTATGATCATGATCACGATGATGATGCTGCTGAGGATGATGATGATGATGATGATGATGATGATGATGATGATGATGATGATGATGATGGTGATGATGATGCTGATGATGATGCCGCTGCTGATGATGATGCCGATGATGTTGATGAGGAGGAGGAGGAGGACGCGGAGGAGAAGGAGGAGCGGGAGGCGGTGGAGGAGGAGGAAGAGGAGGAGGAAAGGAAGGAACTGCAGGATCATGACAAGGAGAGACAGGGACGGCATGGAGGATGAGGAGGAGGAGGAGGAGGAGGAGGAGGAGGAGAAGGAGAAGGAGGACGATAAGGATGCGGAGGCGGCGGCAGCGCATAAAGAACGGGAGTGTGAGGAGGCGTGAGGAGGAGGAGGAGGAGGCGGAGGAGGATGAGGAAGTGGAGGAGGTGAAGGAGGAGGATGGGGGAAGATAAGGAGGATGCGGATCATGAGGAGGAAGACGATCAGGAAGGCGAGGAGGAGAAGGAGGAGGCGGAGGGGGAGGAGGAGGCAGCACATGAAGAGGAGGAGGATGAGGAGGAGGCCAGGGCGTGGGATGAGGACACGGAAGAGGAAGAACTGGAGGATGTTGTTGATGATGTTGTTGTTAATGATTACGATGATTCTGAAAATGATGTTAATGATACTGATGGCGATCATGATGATGTGTCTGATGGTGATGACGTCTGCGATAATGATGACGAAGACGATAAGGGTGATGGTGATGATGACGATTTTGATGGTATTGTTGATGGCGGTGATGGTGATGATGATGGTGATGATGATGCTCATGATGATGATGGCGACATGATGATTATGCTGACGATGCTGATGATGATGCTGATGATGATTATGATGATGATGATGCTGCTGATGATGATGATGATGATGAGTAGGGTGGCGGCGAGGATGATGATCATGACGCCGCTGATGCTGCTGATGATGATGCTGGCGATGATGTTGGTGATGCTCATGATGATGTTGATGAGGATGCTGATGATGGTGATGCTGACTATGATATCGACTATGCTGATGATCCTGATGATGATACTGGTGATGCTGTTGATGACGATGTTGATGCTGATAATGATTATAGTGGTCATGGTGATGCTGATCATGATGCTGATGCTGTTGTTGATGATAATGATGGTGATGATGCAAATGAAGATGATGCGGGTGATGATGATGATGCTGGTGATGATGATGCTGCTGATGCTGATGCTGGTGTTCATGATGCTGATGATGATGCTGATGATGATGACGATGATGATGATGATGCTGATGTTGATGATGATGGTGACGATGATGACAATGCTGATGATGCCGATGATGATGATGACGATGCTGCTGATGATGATGATGATGATGCTGATGACGATGATGATGATGATGTTAATACTGATGGTGATGATGTTGATGAGTATGCTGATTATGATGATGTTGCTGCTGCTGCTGATGATGCTGCTGATGATGATGATGATGATGTTGACGATTTGATGATTATGATGACGACATGATGGCGATGATGATGTTGATGATGATGCTGATGAGGAGCAAGAGGAGGAGGAGGAGGAGGAGGAGGAGGAGGAGGAGGAGGAGGGAGGGAGGAGGAGGAGGAGGAGGGGGAGGAGGAAGAGCATGAGGAGGAGGAGGAGGAGGACTTGGGGGCGGAGGAGGAGGAGAGGGAGGAGGAGAAGGCGGAGGAGGAGGAGGAGGAGGAGGAGGAACAGCAGGACCATAAACCGAAGGAGGCGGAGACGGCAAGGAGGAAGGGAAGGATGAGAAGGATGAAGACGCGGTGGAGGCGGAGGCGGGGGCGGAGAATGAAAGGAAGGAGAAGGAGGAGGAGGATGAGGAGGAGGAGGAGGAGGAGCAAGGGGCGAAGGAGAAGGAGGAGGATGGGGAGGCGAAGGATGAGAAGGCTAATGATATCTAATGATGAGGAAGAGGATGAGGATGCTGATTGTGATGAGGATGAGGATGAGGATTATGATGCTGATGCTGACGATGTTGATGATGATGATGATGCGGGTGAGGATGAGGATGAGGATGAGGATGATGACGATGACGATGCTGCTGATGATGATGATGATGGTGATGATGACGATGCTGATGATGTTGGTGATGGTGCTGATGATGCTGTTGATGATGGTGATGACGATGCTGCTGCTGCTGATGATGATAAAGCTGTTGATGGTGATGATGGTTGTGATGATGACGATGTTGATGATGGAGGCGATTGTGATGATGCTGATGATGAAGAGGATGATCATGATGCTGAGGATGATGACGAGGATGATGACGACGATGATGATGATGATGATGATGCAGATAGAGATGATGCTGATGGTGATGATGATGGTGGTGGTGGCGTTGGTGGTGATGATGATGCTGATGCTGCTGATGATGACGATGGTGAATATGATGATGATGTTGATGATGATGCTGCTGATGATGATGACAGCCAGGATGATGATGAGGAGGAGGATGCTGCTGCTGCTGCGAATGGTGATGATGATGATGACGATGATGATGGTGGTGGTGCTGATGCTGATGCGGATGCTGCTGCTGATGGTGATGGTGATGATGATGCTGATGCTGCTGATGATGACGATGGTGAATATGATGATGATGTTGATGATGATGCTGCTGCTGATGATGATGATGATGATGACAGCCAGGATGATGATGATGAGGAGGAGGATGCTGCTGCGAATGATGATGATGCTGATGCGGATGCGGATGCTGCTGCTGATGATGATGATGCTGCTGCTGCTGATGATGATGACGATGATGATGACGCTGTTGCTGCTGCTGATGCTGATCATGATGATGACGATGATGATGATACGTAAGGAGGAGGAGGAGGAGGAGGAGGAGGAGGAGGAGGAGGAGGAGGAGGAGTGGGAGTGGGAGGCAGAAGAGGAAGAGGAAGAGGAAGAAGAGGAGGAGGAGGAGGAGGAAGAAGAAAAAGAGGAGGAGGCAGGAGGAGGATGAGGAGGAGGAGGGGGAGGAGGAGGAGGAAGAGGAGGAGGAGGAGGAGGAGGAGAAGAACCCCCCCTCCCTCTCCCTCCTGGAGGGGGGGAAGACGGGTAGCCAGTCCCCCCCCCTGGCGAAAGGCTGGCGCAGCGCCGGAGAGAGGCCGAAGCGGACGGCGAGGCGCAGGACGGGGGGACAATGAAGCGCTCTCGCGCGTCTAGTGGCGAGGCAGGCGAGAGGGGAGAACGGGAATGGATGATGGAGGCACGCACGCACACACGCACGCATACACATTATATATGTGTACACCTGTACAGGCATACAGCATGTGTGGGTATAAGTGCGCACAAGTAGGGAAAAACAAACATACACGTACACGCATACACACATCTATGTATATGCATATATCTTAGATATTGACACAAGTAGGGACACACAGTTTCACATGATGCATTCCTGTATATGTTGTATCACCATATACATATATATGTGTGTAGAAGCATATCTATATGTATATATATATATGTACATCTATTCACATAGGGAGAGAACAAAAAACATAAAGAGAGATAGAGAGAGAGGCGGACGTAACATGAGGACGTGCATGAGGAGGAGGATGAAGAGGAGGAGGAGGGGGAGGGGAGGAGGAGTAGGAGGAGGAGGAGGAGGGGGAGGAGGATTATCAGGAATACTAGAATGGAAAGAGGAGGAGAAGGAGGAGGATGAGCAGGAATGGGAGGATGACGAGGAGAAGGAGGAAGCAGGAGGAGGGTACAAGATTACAAAGAGGATCGAAGTGGGGGACGGGGGATTTGAGATGAATGATCGGATGAGGGGGGTGGGGGGGCTGGGCAGGAGGAGCGGGAGGGGTTGGTTCAGTTAGCCAGGTCGAAGCCAGGTCGTTCCAAACCTCCTCCCCATCACATACGAATCAATGGTAACACCGCTTGCGATTCGGACCAGGGCGCGTTCCCACCCAGCGAACGGTAGGCGCTCGCGCACAGTCTCGCTTCCATCGGCTGGGCGGGGTGGGGAGAACACCAAAAATGCAGGCCACGCACGGGCTGGAGTGGAACTTTAGAAGAACCTTGCGCAGCACAATCGATTTTTCTCTCGGCCGGCCATATTTCCGCTGAGCGCGGAGAAGCATGCGCCGCGCCGGCACAGCACTGCCACTCTCACGCGCATGCTGCGCGGCGCCTGGGCGATGACAGCATGTTGCCGGCTCTCGCGCGGCCTTGCTGCCACTGCCACGTCCACGCAGCTCGGCGAGCAAAACATACGCCGCGCCCATGCGGGAACGCCACTTCCAGGCGAAGTCTACACGGAGTTCGGGCGAGGGTGACAAGTCGCCCTCTCGCGTGCGACCCCGCCCCCAACGACTTGGCGAGTGGAATATGCGCGCCGTGCCCACGCGGGAATTCAATGCTCGGAGAAATTGAGCGCGGCGCCAAGGCGAGAGCGATGCTTCGCCCCTTCGCACGGGATGTGCGCCTCGTCCCACTCCAGTCGCGCATTTTGCAACGTCGAGGACAAGACGCCCTTGCTGAAATGAAACATGTAGACGTTTTTTTTTGTTGGCTGGCAGGATGGAACCTCCCGGATCTGGCTGCTATCTGCCAGCTAGGTGGCCCAATGTGGTTCTAGATGCGCATATGAATGCGAGGGATACGTTTGCGGACGGCTTGTGTGCACCGTGCCGCGTTGGCGATTTCCGAGGCGTCGTCGGTTCTCGACCCTGCAATGGTGCGGTGCATAGTTTTCTGGCTCGCAGAGCCGAACCATCATGCACCTTTCTGCGCTGGAGCGGGGCCTGATCGGAGTCCAGGCATGGTGCGGTGGATGGGCGCCGTTCCCGTGATAAAGAGGGGGCGTTTCTTTAGGAGGGGTGCGTGCGTCGAGGAAGGGGGTCGGCCTTAGCAAGCGTGAAACCACCCCACCAGGCAGCAGAGGAGCATTCTAACGCGCCCACTCAATGCAGGCACGGTGGCGGAGATCAGCAAAGAAGAAACAGGTGGAGCAGGACGGGGAGCTCGGTGTAGGAGTCAAGCAGGAGACTTTCGCTGCCAGCCCTCCCTCTGCAGGAGGAGGTCTGCTTCGGGGGCTTCAAGGCTTGGCAGGAAGTCGCCGCCAACCGCGACATCATCTTCGGCAGGAAGGTAGGCGTGCGACAGGGCACGCCCGGGATCCTCGTGGGGAACTTCACCGACGACCACCACGTCACCGTCAGGTTCGACGAGCGGGAGGACATCACATCAGCAGCAGGGGAAAACAAAAGAGGAGGAGGAGGACGAGGAGGAGGAGGAGGAGGAGGAGGAAGAGGAATGGGTGGCAGGGAAGAGGAGATCAGGTGCAGAAGGGTGAGCACGAAAAGGCTGCGCCCCGAATCTGGCCTTCGGCCTGAGCCCAAGGCTGGATCCGGCGAGCGAACTTCCGTCTGAAACAACGGGTTTGGCCTGGGTCCCGTTCTGGATAAGAGCTTGACCTCAATCCTCCTCCTGTGCTCGAGCCCGAGCCTTGGGTCCGAGCTCGTCGTCGTCCTCCTACTGCTCCTCGCCCTCCAGCTCCTCATCCTCCTCTTTTTCCTCCTCCTCATCCTCAGGCTGCTGTTTGAGGGCGACGAGCCATGGACCAGCCGTTCGGAGCCTATGATCGCACCCCGGTAGTCGCATCCAGGCCCTTACCGGTTCGTTACTGTGGGCAGGGGGAGTCGGGAGGGCCCCTGCGCACACAGCTCATGCCGCTTACCGTATTGATGTCGTTACCGTAATTGCCGCCGCCATGTTTTTTTGTGACGCATTTCGATTCGACAGTGCGACCTCGAAAGGCAAGAATGCGAGACGCAGAGACTCGCATTATCCGTCGCACGCACTCGCGAATAACTCAGGAAGTCAAGTAGGAAATGCTGAAGTTTCTAGAAGCAGCCTCAACAGACATGGGACAAACGATTTTGGACGACCCAGGTCAGGAACCGTTTGTGCAGGCCGATTGTGCCCACCAGCATGTTTGAAGCTACGCTCAAATGCCGTCTGTGGGCACGTGGATTCGCCATACGTTAGTTGCTCCCCATTGTAATACGTGCTGCTTTTACGTACTCAGAGGAAGCGCTAACGGAGGCAACGAGCGAACAACATCCATTGTGGAATACTGTTATGATCGCAGAAGAGGGGAGGCATTTGCTGCATTTCTAAGAATCAGCAGCCTAAGCAAAACATGCAATTACCATCAGTTGGAACGTGCATTCACCGTGCACCTTTTGACAACTCGGGACAAAGGGGCAAGTGAGCATCCGATTGTACTCGTTTGCGACCTGGGGAGGACAGTACCGACAATCTACATATAAACGAAAAGGATCGTTTGGTATTGTCAATCTTCTCCAACAGGCGACCAACATGCGTTTGAAGAGATACTGTTTTCGGAAAGTTGGGCCGATGGAGGCCAAATTGATGTCAGGCCGTGCAGTGGAAGAGCCTGAAATTGACTTGCGCGGCATGGTTTACCACAGTTTCTCAAGGAGAGCGAGGAGATCGCGATATCAAAGCACAAGACATTTCCCATGGCCGTGGAAAGAGGAAGACACATCAATGCCTTGGCATACAGAGTTTCCCCCCCAAAAGAAAAAGGAAAACGCCATTCACTGAAATAGAGGACGGCATCGCCAGCCTCCTATCGGAAGGGAAGATCATGCAAACGAGGGTCAGCAAACATCGAGGTTCGCACGCACTGACTATAGCAGAATATGCACATCATGTTATTATTGTTGAGAGCAGTGCACAACAAAAGAAGCATCATGCTCATCCCAAGGTAATGGAGACAACAAAAAAACGTAGGCACGCAGCGGCGCGCATGGTGCGCGTCGGATCAGGAGGCGATGGAGGCGGGGGGGAGTTGGAGGCGGAGGAGGAGTTCTTTCGTGGAGCTGGCGTCTGGCCCGCAATTGTCTGTCCTTGCTGTGGGAGGCGCGCGCTGCGCGAAGGCAGCAGCGCCGTCCTCCCTGCTTCTGCGATTGACGTAAACAATACTGGGCAGGGTCTCCCTGCTAGCGTGGCACCCAGCCTCCCTGGAGTCAACATGAGTCAACCAGGGGACTGGGGCACCCCAGACATGCCCCAGCATTTGGCAACGATCCAGGAGGCTTGTCTCCACATAAATCACCCACGGGGCAGCCTGCGAAGTGTTTCAAGCTCTCTGCAGCTAGAGACACAGACCCCCAACGGCCTTATACTTATCTTTATCCTCATCCTCCTCCTTCTCATCCCTTCCTCCTTCTCGTCCTCCTCCTCCTCCTCCTCGTCCTCCTCCTCGTCCTCCTCCTCCTCCCCCCCACATCTTCCTCCTCTCTCAGCTACTCTCTCCGCTACTCTTCCTCCTCCGCCCTCCCCTGCTCTTACTCCTTCCTCATCCTCTCCCTCGCTCCTCCTCGCCCTCCTCTCGCTTCGGAGTGGAGGAGGGGGAGAAGAAGGATGGCGCAGGAATAGGAGGAGGAAGAGGATGAGGAGGAGAAGGAGGAGGAAGAGCGAAAGCGGATACTGAGGAGGAGGAACAGGACGAAGGGGGAGGAACAGAAAAGGAGGAGGAGGAGCGGGATAATTTCCGATCCTTATCCTTTGTCGATGTCGTCCTTCTCCTCCTCTTTCTCCTCCTCTTCCTCCTCCTCCTCCTCCTCCTCCTCCTCTTCCTCTTCCTCCTCCTACTCCTCTTCCTCCTCCTGCTCCTCTTCCTCCTCCTCTTCCTCCTCCTCTTCCTCCTCCTCTTCCTCCTCCTCCTCCTAGCTGCCATTTAGTGGACCAGACGCCCGTTCCCCGGCTGATAAGAATTGGTAAACGTTCTTCATCCCACCAGGTTTCAGGGCCGACTCATTTTTGCAGGACAGGGAAGGGGGGGAGGGAGCAGGGACACGACCGTTTCCGCTTAGCGTCCTCTCTTCCGCAAGGAGATGGTCACAGCGGTTGCCGAATTCGGCGGCCGCATGTGGAGGCCGGGCGCACCCCCAGCTGTCCGTACAGAGCGCGCCCGCGCGAGAAGATAGATGCGAACACAACAAGAGAATTCCGAATATCTTGCAGTATGGAACGTCTGGAAAAGGGAGCGTGTCGCACTCCAGAACCAGTCAGGTCAGAACGACTATTTTTTGGTTCGGATCTTAACGGATTGCAAAGGGAATTGTGGTGGAGAAGGCGAGCAGCAGGCCGCCTGCGGCTCGCGTTCGGCGAGTCGATCCTCAGGGGGCCTTCCCGGCGCCCCCCCTCTTAGCCGCAGACCTAGAATACCATGGGTATCGTTGTGGGCTCGAAGCGCATTTGGCGAGTTGGGCCTACGTGGGGCCTTCTATTCACTCATTCGACAAGCGCAGGTAACGTGTTTTCCGGTCAGATCCAACAGCCCACAAGCCAGCGAAGCCACAACCAAACAAGCTTCTTACGCATAGATGTTCAGAGTGCGGAAGCAGCGCGGGACGTCGAGCAAACGACAAACAAGTGTGAACCAGACAGGACAACTCAAGCATGGGTGCCTTTTAGGCTGCATCAGAAAAGCAAACTAAAGTACTTGTATCGGATTAGGTGTTCGACTTTCTGTTGGTGGATCATGAATGGACGCTGCAAGAAAACAGGACCTCATGTGCGCTGGGTATTATTTACAATCTGAAATGCGATATGCGGACGAGCATGAAAATATCGAATCCCAAAACAGAAGTTCTCGACGTTCTGGACATTGTTATGACGATTGGCGTAGGTTTTCGCAATGGACCGTATAGTGCCGTAGTATGGCACGAACAGAACATAACAGAACAACGGAGCATTTTGGATCCGATTCCACAACTATGCCTGGCCGTGCTGCAGTCCTTGGCTACCGCCAGTCCGCGGTCTCCCTCCCATTCCAGGCCGTAGCGCCCCCCGCTTCTTGTGGCGGCGGGGCGGGGGGGCCGCAGATTCCCCCCGCCCCTCCCTGTCCTTGTCCTCGTCGCCCCTTCCCCCCCGCCCCTCTTCTCGGAACCGCAGGTGTTTGGCCCTTCCCGGAAGCGGGCACGCGCAGCCCTGCTTGCTTCTGGACTTTGCGGCAGAGGGCTCTTCCCCGCCGACGCCACCGCGCGCAAGACTGTCCAGGGGGGGGGAGTAGAGGGGGGGACGGTCCTTCCGCGTGCCTGGCAGGCAGGTTTGCGCGAAGAATGGCAGGCCTTGCATCTGTGTTAGCCCGCGCAGGGGTCATTATTATGTTCCTAGTTTGTAGGACTTGGGATCCCCAAGCGCCCTTGCCTTACCTTACCTCATCTTCCTCCCTCTATCCTATCGGCTTCCTCGTCATCCGCATCCCCGTCCCTCTCGCTTCCTCCTCCTCCCTTCCTCCTCCCCTTCCTCCCTCCCTCCTCCTCCGCCTCCTCCTCCTCCCTCCCTCCTCCTTCTCCCTCCTCATCCTCCTTGTTTTCCTTCCCCCTTCCCTCCCTCCCCCCCCCTCTTCCTTCTCCTTGCCCTCCTCGTCCTTCTCCCCCTCCCGCGGCCGGGTCGGGTCCCAGGGGCCGCGGCGGCCGCTGCTTCTACCGCCACCCTTTGCGCGTGATCACGCACGCCCCCCGCACACCCCCTGTCGTTCGCGCTGCTGCGCCTTTCCGGCAAGCCTCGACGGTGTTGGCCCAGGGCTTCAAGCAAAGCCGAGACGGTCAAGGGAGGGCTCTTGTAGCGGTCTGGCCGGTCGGAGCGGCGCGCGCGGCGCAGCCGCCCCCGCCTTCTGGCACTTTTAGAACCGCAGCGTCTCTCTCGCCTGTCTGCCAGGTTCGTGGATCATATGGCGTGGTCATCGTCTCACTCACATTCCTCCTTTTGCTCAGACGCGGCTGTCTCAGGGCGCAGAAGCAGCGTGCGCCGAGTGCAGTCGGGCTCATCAGCCCGCGTGGGCTGCGGACAGCAACAGTTGTTGCTTTGTTCGTGCTGACCCCCCCCCGAGGCGGGAGCCATCCAAGAAACGGCACGGGAGGACATCAGCCCAGCTTGGGTGCAGTTGGGCTCGTCAGCCTGCGCGAGCCGCAGACGGCCACACGTTTCTTGTTTGTGCTCACCCTCCCCTGAGGCGAGAGCCATCCAAGAAACGGCACGGGAGGACACTAGCCACGCCCGTGCGGGCGTGCACAGAGCGTGCATTGCCCAACCCAGCCATGCCTGAATCCTTGCGCCAGATCCCGCCCCAAGCTAGACCATCGAGGAACGCCTTCGGTCATCCTGCGAAAAAAGTCGACGCACAAGCCGAAACACGCACGGGGAATGGACGTCCGAACGATGGCAGGTCTCTCTCTCTCTCTCTCTCCGGTGGCGGCGGGGCGCGGCGGCGCGAAGATGGGTCCGGCACCGCGCGAGGCGCGGGGGTCGGGCGTCGCAGGCGGCGAGCCGCAGGGAGTGCGGTCGGGATCTCGTGCCGGGCGTGTGGCGCCGCCGGCTCGGGGCCCACGAGGCATCGGCGCGACACGCTCGAGCCACGTCCCAGCCTCCGGGCGCCAGCGTCCCGAGCCTCTCCCCGCCTCCCGCCACGCGGAGCGGAGCGGCGCGCCATCGGGTCGCAGGGCATGGCGCGGCGCCGGGGCCTTCGTCGCCGTAGGCTGGACGGGGCGCGGAGAGCAGGGGAGGGGCACGAGCGGAGGAAGGGCGCGAGAGAGGTGGGACCCTGCCCCTCCCTCCCGTCCCTCTTGCACTGAGCTCGGTACTGGGCTCGGTCTTTTCGCGTTCGCAAGCCCGCTTCTTCTTATGCCACTAATCCTTGCGTGGTGTTTGCGCCGCGAGGGGGCCATGGGCCGCGGTAGCAGATCGACAACGGGGAATGAAGAGGGCTTGTCGCAGAGGAAAAGCGAAAGGAGGAGGAGGAAGAGGAGGAGGAGGCCAAGGAGGACGACTAGCAGAAGGAGGAGGAAGAGGAGGAGGAGGAGGAAGAGGAGGCGGAGGCCAAAATGGACGACTAGGAGGAGGAGGAGGAGGAGGAGGAGGAGGAGGAGGAGGAGGAGGAGAAAGAGGATGACGACGACGACGACGAAGACAATACACGCCGACGATGGCGAGCGCGGCGGGCGCTCCGCGCTTCTGGGCCGGCGCGCGGGACCTCCGTGAGCGGTCGCCCTCTTCCAGGGGCGGCGGCACCGCTGCTCCCGCGGGAGCTAGGTCGAGTCTTGCAAACTTTCTGTTATACGAATGTGCGCGGCGCTAAGGCGAGAGCCACAGTCTGAAAAGGAGTCGCCCTCCATCCGTGAAGCTCTTGCAATATATTAACACGAAGGCGCGCGGAGCTGAGGCGAGAGCCACATGTTGAAAACGACCCGCCCTCCATCCGCGAAACTTGTGCGAAGTATTGAGACGAACGTGCGAGGCGCCAAGGCGAGAGCCACATTCTGAAAACGACCCGCCCGCCATCTGTAAAGCTCTTGCAAACTTCTCGGACGAATGCGCGCGGCGCTAGGTCGAGAGCAACATGTTGAAAACAACCCGCCCGCCATTCGTCAAGCCTTTGTAAATGAGCGGCTCTGTGGCGAGAGCCAGAATTTGAAAACGACTCGCCCGCCTTCCGTGGAAGTCAAGCAGACTTGTAGGACGAATGTGCGCGGCGCTAGGTCGGCAAGCTTTTTAGACGAATGTGCGCGAGGCTGAGGCGAGAACCACAGTCTGAAAAGACGCCGCTCTCCATACGTGAAGCTCTTGCAATATATTAACACGAAGGTGTGCGGAGCTGAGACGAGAGCCTCATGTTGAAAACTGCCCGCCCTCAATCCGTGAAGCCCTCGCAAGCTTTTAAGACGAACGTGCGAGGCGCCAAGACGAGAGCCGCGTTTTGAAATCGACCCGCCCTCCAATTGTGAAGCTTTTGCAAATGTCTTGGTCGAATGTGCGCGGCACTAGGTCGATAGCCACATTTTGAAAACGGCCCGCCCTCCGTTTTTGAAGCTGATGCAAACGCCAAGTTTCAGGAGTTCAAACGGTGAGGAAGTCTCAGGTGAAACGCCTGGCAAGCCCTACCGACACGTCTCTGGGTGCGACAGGGAGGGGTTATTCAGGGAAAAGGATGGATCAACGAGGGGAGGGCGAAGGGTGGATGAGGGCAGCGGCAGGACCAGCAGGAGGAGTAGGGAAGGGATTGGCAGCAACAGCGGGAGCAGGAGGAAGCGGAGGGCCCGCGCGAGGACGGGTCCGACCTGTGCGTCAACGTGCTCCCAGAGGCCCTGATGGCGCCGCTGCCGGGGGGCTTCCGCCTCAGCCAGCGGGCCGCCGCCCTAGCTTCCGCCGGTGGGGGAGGAGGGGAGCGAGGTGGGGGGAAAACCGCGTGGGTTGCAATTGACGCCGCAATGGAAGTTCAAAAGGTGTGGAGGTAAGTTGGACCCTCCTCTAGGGACGTCTTCGTAAGCCGATGGTCCCTAGAGGATTCCTCGGCCCCCTCCAGTGCCTATTGACGGCTTCGTGGTAGGTGTAATCATGGGAGCGGGAACCCACGCAGCCCCTATGATGGAAGCTGCGCGGGGTGTGAGGCCGATTGGCGGTCATCATGGGTGAAGCCCATTGACGGTCCCCATCCTGGCGGGGCCGAGAGGGAAGGGGATGGCATAGCGTCGACGCCGTCCACGATCCACGGGTCCTGAGGCGAAGGACCTGAAGCAGGGAGTCTGAAAATGAGGAGGGGCACGTGGCGACGCCGTCTGCGAGCTGCCTTGGGTCCGGAGGTGAGGGACCTGAACGCAGGCAGTCCAGAAAGGGAGAAAGGCAGGGATGTGGTGACGTGTACCTAGCTGCTGGTGCACAGAAAATGTTTGAAAGTCGCAACGACAAAGTTACGAATTTGGGCGCCAGGCGGGCTGGCATCCCCCAAACGTGCCCAACCCGACTGGAAGGCATCCCCCGAGCGTGCCAAATCGACTGGGAGAAGGAAGTGAGGGGAGCGAAGGTGGGAGCGGAAGAAGGAAGGATGACATTGAGGATGTCAGGATGAGGAGAACGGCATGACCAGGAGCAGGAGCAGGAGGAGGAGGCAGGAGGATGAGCAGGAAAAGCAGGAGGAGCAGGAGGAACAGGTGGAGAAAGGAGCGGGAGGAGGAGCACGAGCAAGAGCAGGAGGGGGCAGGAGCAGGAGGAGGAGCAGGAGGAGGAGGAAGAAGGGAAGGTCGTTGCCCTCTACGATCTGCTGCTAAACGGCGAGATCGGGGTCCGCCTCGGCACTCCGGGCACGGTCGTCGGCTCACTGGGCGAGGACCAACGCTCGCGCCTACAGGAGGGGAGGAAAAGGCGGAGGAAAATGAGGAGGGCAACACCTCTTCTAAGTGTTCGCCTCCTCTTCCTCCTCATCCTCTTCCTCATCCTCCTCCTCCTCCTCTTCATCCTAATCCTCATCCTCATCCTCCTTGTTCTCCTTCTCCTTATCCTTGTCATTATGCTCTTCCTCCTCCTCATCCTCTTCTCCCCTTCCTACTCCGCATCATGTTCGTCTCTTATTGCCTCCCTCTTCCCTCTTAGTATGATTAATGTTTGTGTTCTTTTTGTATAATGTGTATTATTATTGATATGGGTATTAGTGGTAGTGTTATTATGTATATTCGTATTCTTCGTTTTATTAATATGATGTCTGATATTGGCAGTAGTAGTAGTAGTAGTAGTAGTAGTAGTAGTAGTAGTAGTAGTAGCAGTAGCAGTAGCAGTAGCAGTAGTAGTCGTAGTAGTAGTAGTAGTAGTAGTAGTAGTAGTAGTAGTAGTAGTAGTAGTCGTAGTAGTAGTAGTAGTAGTAGTAGTAGTAGTAGTAGTAGCTATGTACTAGTAGTAGTAGTAGTAGTAGTAGTAGCAGTCGTCGTAGTCGTAGTATTAGTCGAAGTAGTAGTAGTAGTACTACAACTACTACTACTGCTTCTGCTGCTACTACTACTACACTACTACTACTACTACTACTACTACTACTACTACTACTACTACTACCACTACTACTACTACTACTACTACTACTACTACTACTACTATACTACTACTACTACTACTACTACTACTACTACTATACTACTACTTCTACTACTACTACTACTACTTACTACTACTACTACTATACTACTACTACTACTACTACTACTACTACTACTACTACTACTACTACTACTACTTACTACTACTACTACTACTACTACTACTACTACTACTACTACTACTACTACTACTACTACTACTACTACTACTACTACTACTACTACTGCTACTACTACTACTACTACTACTACTACTACTACTACTACTACTACTACTACTACTACTACTACTACTACTACTACTACTATCTACTACTTACTACTACTACTACTACTACTACTACTACTACTACTACTACTATACTACTACTACTACTACTACTACTACTACTACTACTACTACTACTACTACTACTACTACTACTACTACTACTACTACTACTACTACTACTACGACTACTACTACTACTACTACTACTACTACTACTACTACTACTACTCCTGCTAGTGCTGCTGCTGCTGCTGCTTCTGCTGCTGCTTCTGCTTCTACTATTCTGCTCTCTCTCTCTCTCTCTGTTTCTCTTGTCCTCGCGAGCGAGTTGGTCTTCTGCAGCATCTCGGCCCTAAGCTTGCCCTCCGCTCCCCTCCGCTCGCGGGGCCGGGGCGCCAGGGGCTTGCGGTGCCATCGCCGCGCAGGTCGCTCTACCTGCTCTCGGGCCGTTCCCACTCGCGGTCTCAGGGGCTGTCGGGGCGGCCCTTGTGGGCCGTCCGTTCTGAGCCAGCGTCGTGGCCGACTGTCCGCATCAGGCGGAGGTCGTCCGGGCAGGAAGGCTTCGCGGCCTCCTGCCTGTCGCGGCGCTGGGCCTTGTTCGCCCCGTCTTCTGCTCCCGCTTCGGCGGGCGGGGCAGGCTGCGGCCCGCGCCGCTTCCTGCCGCGCGCAGGTATCTGCAGCCCGCGGGGCGTGGCTCGAGGAGCTGTGGACTCGAGCCCTTCGCGCTTATGGCTGCGAGTCGATTCCCGGGTCTCCCCGACCCTTCGGGTAGGTGGCCGTTAGCGCCCACCTCGCCTTCGACGTCGCAACACTCCTCTCCCTCTTCTTCCGCCCTCTCCCCTGCCCTCTGGGGCGGAGGAGCAGGAGGCTTATCGGAGGAGAGGAGCAGGAGGAGGAGCTCGCACGCCGATGCGCCACGCCTTGCACCGCGGCGCAGCGCGAGCCCTCGCCTCGGACGTCCGAGGCGCTGCTACGCACAGCTTGCGCGCTCGCCCCCCGAGGGCTTCAGCCGCCGCGACAGAGACGCCCCTCGCGCCGCGTCCGCCACCTGAGCTTCCCCCGCAGCACGAGCCAGTCGCCGCGGAGAGCGAAGCGCCCATTTCCGCTGCGCCGCCCGTTAGTTCCCCGCGCGACTCAATCCGCTAGCGGCCTCCTGACAGCAGGTAATGGAGCTGACGGCGCGAAGACAACTGCGCTCGGGGTGGAGGAGTCGGAGTGGATGGGCCCTTCTAACCTCCACCTCCTCTCCACTCCCCCCCCCGTCGATGCTCCCCCATGGCTCACCCGCGTCGTCGTGCGACGCAGCCCTCGCGCGGGCATCGCGCGCAGGCTTCATCCGATGCTGCGGTTGCCCCGTCGCTTGGCACGGCGCGTTCCTGCGATGCAGTGGCTGCATCGCCTGCAGGGGAGGTTCCCTGATCACTCCCTGCCGCTGGCATAGCGCGGTCCAGCGATGCGGCCATGGCCCTGCGCGTGCCACGGCAAGGTCGGTCGATCCCGCGCTTCCTCGCAAGCGCCCGCGGCGTGGCCATCGTAGGGGCCCGCGCGGCGCGGCTGCAGGCAGCGCGACAGCTCGAGGGCGCCCCGCCGCGGGGCAGCCCCAAGGCTGCCTCGCCTTCGCCCGCCAGCTTCCGGCCCCCTCCAGGGTTGGAGCCACCGTTGCAGGTGGCAGCCGCGTGCCTTGCGGGCGGGCCCGCCGCCGCGGTTTAAGGCCCTGCTTTGCGGGCTGCTGGCTTCCAACTCAACCTGCGTCATGCCTTTCCTTGTCGTCGAGCAGGTGGGGCCGCCTCCTGGTCGCGCTGGTTTGGAGGCTGGCAATTCGTCTCTCGCCGTGCCCAGCACTGTGCCGGATGGTTCAGCCAGGGCGCCGCTGTCCTTTGACGTCAGGAGGTTTTGCCCGCCCCCTGGCCTCGCCGATATGGAGGCGGGCGAGCGAGTGTCGCGCGCGGCTCTTTCGCGCCCGACGGCCTTTCCTGATCGGGTCTTTGGCGTGAATTCCCAGTTTGATGGGATCTGGATTCGCCGCCTGCTTCGTGCATTGGAATTGCCACTTGTGGCGATCAACCGCGTGTCCTGGCGGTGGGCGGAGCGGTTCCCAGCAGCTTTGATGGGGGTGGGCATGCGCCCTCCCTGCGATGCTGTTACGGGCCCGCAGGGAGGGGCCCCTTCCGCCCCATCGGCCGCCGCTCTGGCTCACCAGCCTGGCATTTTGCCGCGCGCTCGCGGCCTGCTGCCACTCTTGGGTCATGGGGGGACCCCTCCGCGCCTCCGCGGAACTTGGTTCCTGGGTTGGCGGGCGCTGGCTTGTCAGCTCCTGCTGCAAGCGCGCGGGTCATTGCGGGTGGCGTGATTCGCCTGGCATTCTCGGGATCTGCCTCGGCCACTCGGGGCGCGCAGGGGCCCTCTCGCATTCCCGCCAGGTTCAGACTGCCATGGCCCGTCCGCGGACGGGGGGGCCGTCGTTGCGGCCGTGGACGAGAGAGCGCCGTTGACTCGCGCGGGCGTCTAGTAGGACATCCAACCAGCTGGCTGCGAATGCGGCCCAGGCTGCACCCCTCGGGGTTCATGCCGACCCGCGCTGAGCCCGCCTCGAGGCGCCAGCGCCGTTCGCCGACGAGGCGGCGCGCGTGGGCATCCCCCAGGACAATCAGGCGATGCCCGCCCAGTCGCCTCCCCAGCCGCAGCGGGTTCACAGCCGCGCGGCGCATGCGCCGGCGTCGGCTCCGGTGGCGGCTCGGGGCAAGGGCGGGCCTGGAAGCGTGCATTTCGCCCCTGCCGCCCTTGGCCCCGCCGCCGACCCCTCTCCCCCCAGAGCTGCTCAGGCCCGACGGGGTCGGCGGCGTCGCCGAGCGGGGGGTCGCGGGAGAAGGGCCTCGTCCGAGCAGCGCTCCCGAGTTCCTCCAGCGGTCAGGGCCGTCGCGCGAGGCGTCGCGCCCCCTGTTGGGGACGCCCGGCGACCTCCCCCACTGCGCGGCCCATGCAGGAGCCCAGGGCAAGCCCCCCTCAACAGCCCCCCGTAAAAGGCCAGCGGGGCCCGATGGCGGGGCAGGCGCATTTTGCGCGCGGTTGCCGAGGGGAGGAGTCGAGACGAGTCGATCAGTTCGACGACGTCGCGGCTGCTAAGCGCGCCTGGGCTGAGCGCGGTCGCGGCCGTAGGAATGTACGACTCCGGCGATGCTTTTGCGGCCCCGCAGGCGGGCGCGCGTTCAGCGGTGGTGACTCTTGCTCCGCTTCTGGCTCCTCTCGGGCTCCGTCTGGGCCCTCGGGCCCCCCTTGTCTGTCTGGGCGGCTCGGGCGCTCGGTTGCCGCCCAGCGACGGGGCCGCGTCTCCTGCTGCTGCCGAGGTTGCGCCCATTGTCGCTGACCTTTCTGCCGTGCTGCGTCTGTTCCCTGAATGGGCCTCTGCATCTGCCCAGGTCGGGCAGGGTGCTCGCTGTTCCCTGGCCTCTTTCTCCCGCCGCTCACTCCGCGCGCCGGTTCGGGGCGCCCCTGCATCCGACGAGCATTTCCCCCGCGACCCCTGGCCGCCCCCTCCAGCCCCCGCGCTCGAGCCTCTCCCCGCGCCCGCGTCAGGGAGTTCTCGGGGGCGTTGGCGGCTGAAGCGCGCCGCGCGCCGTGCTTGCGCTCGATCGGCTGACCTCGGGGAAGCTAGCCTCGCCCAGCACCGGCCGGGGCCTGCGCGCGCGCAGCGGTTTCACCCTGCCAGGAGGGCGCGCGCAGCCGCATCGAGCGGCTCCGCGCGATCGCAGCGCGCCTCGCCCGCGGCGGCCAGAACGACACGGGGCGGACGTTCGCCGCGCTCGATTCCGCCGAGATCTCGCGCCGCGGCCTGGCCGCCCACGTCGCTGCGATGGAGGCCTTCTTCCTCTCTTCCCCCTCCGTGCCTGCCCCCGAGCGGCAGTGCCCGAGCGGCGCTCCAGTTGCTGGCTCGCTGGCTTCTGCGGCGGCCTGGGACCCCACCCGCGCCTAGCCTTTTGACTTCTATAGAGGTCGAGGCTGCCCGCGCCAAGCGGGGTTATTCGCCTGCGCTCGATCCCACCCCGCACATCTCCGACGCCAGGGTCCGCGATGCATTCCCGGGCCTGGAGGTCGCGCGCCTTCCGCGCGGAGAGTGGCCAGTGGGGCTACGGAGCGCTCGACTCCGCATGGATCGAAACGAGCTCTGGGGCCCCTTCTGAAGTGGGGCTCCCGCGGCGCTCCGTATTCGACCCCCTCATCGGACCTCCTTTGGGACGAGGCGCGTGGGGCATTCAGAGTTCCCGCAGGCGACGACCACGATCGCCTGGCCTTTAATCCCACGGTGGTGAACAGTCGCTGTCACGGCGTCTCCTCCAGTACTCAGCACCGTGGGCAGGGTTTCTTGCGGCGCAGAATGAGCCTTGCTCCTGACGGGTGGCCCGTGGTTTCATGCGATGATTTGCGCGAGTTCTATTGCGCTGTCAGGGCGCCGCCATCGCTGGCCAAGCGACGCGCGCTGCGAGCGCGGCCCCCCGCGACTGGCTTAGAGCCGTTCAAGGCAGGGTGGTCCGAGCTGGAAGGGCTCGATGTGCCCCCGCGCTTGGGCGCGCTCGTAGTGGGCGACACCATGGCAGGGGAGATTGCCGGTTCCGCCCGCGAGGTGTGCCGCGCAGTTTCGGAGCTCTCCGCCCCGAGAAGCGAGCGGTGCACCGCTCGCCGCCCCCGCGCGGCCCCCACGTTGATATGCCGAATACCGACGACCGCGCGGGGTTTTAAAGACCGTCCTAAAACTACACGGCCCCGCGGCCCGATGGCCCGTCGCGCAAAAGCCAGGCAGCGGTGGCCGCCTGCGACCGCGGGTGCCCGAGCGCGGGCCTCGTCCAGCACCCGGGCAAGCGCGCCCGCGATGCGACCCGGAAGGTCGTCGTCGGCCCCGGGGCGAAAGGCGGGGCTGGCACTGTCTCCTCGTCTGCGCCCCGCTCGTTCGGGCGGTGGCTCTCTCCGGGCTCGCGCCTGTCCAGGTGTACCTCGGTCGCGAGACGCGCGCTGTCTCGGCGTCGCTTGTGGGGCGTTGGGTTCAGGTTTCCTGTTTCGCCGACCTTCCGTTGGTCTTTACCCGCGACTACACCTTCCTATCCTCTCTCGCGGTAGGAGACGGAGTGGAGCACGTTTTGCCCATCTCCTCGCCGGGCGAGCAGCCTGCTTGCTTCGCCTTTTCGGCCATGGCCGATGTTTGTGTGAGCTATGCCTCCGACGTGGTCGGCACGGGCGCTTCCCTCTCGCGGGGGGGAGTTGTCCGCACGCCAGTTAGCCCGCGCCTGTTGGCGGAGCTGCGGCGCCGATCGGAGCACAGTGGTCGACGCGCAGCGTTGCGCGACCGCTGCCAGCTCGCCGCGCAGAGCCGCGGAGCCCCTGCGGGGCCCGAGCTCAGCCAGCTGCATCCATGACTGAGGCCCCATTCCCTGGGCCCTCTGGTTGCGCCGCGCTGGATTGCGGAGCCGTCGGAAGCCTTGCGCCTCCGCCTGGCCTATAAATGGGAATTCCATGCGCCTCGCCACATCGACATTCTGGAGACGGCCGCGTGCAAAAGCATTTGCAAATATTGTTGCACTAGGCACCCCGACATGCGGATTCCGGCGCTGCCGTGCACCAGCATGGCCTTAGGCGCTACCGCGCGCGGCCAGAGCAGCTCTCCCAGGCAGCTTCACGTCTTCAGCACCACGTTGCCGCACATCGTCGGGGGGGGGCTGCACGCCTTTGCGCGCCTATTAACGTGCGCAGAGCGAACGGCCCCACGCGACACCGCCCCTCCGCCCTCCCTCTTGAGGTCTGCGCGTGGTTGACGGGCGCGGGAGTCGGAGGACTCCAGGATTGCACGGCCTTCGCTGATTCCTGCGCGCCTTGCCTGGCCAGTCTGCGGGGTCGCCTTGTCGCGTTGTTTCTGGCTCGCGACCTGGGGGGCGCGGGCCCCCCAGGGCGCGCGGCCGACCCCCCCCCCAGCTGGCGGCCCCGCGGAGCTCAGTCCACCGACGGATAATTCCGCGGCGGCCCCTGCCGCCGCGTCGCCGGGCGGGCCGCGCGACGCGCTGTTCGGCCAGCGTGGCCCGTCGAGAGACGGGCCTGGCGCGGGGCCGAGGCTGGGGGCTGCCCCTGAAGCCCCCCCCGCGCCCTCGACCGGGGCCCGCCGACCTTCGGCCCTTCGCGATCACCCGCTGCCTTCGATCGACTAGACGTAAGAGTGACCTTTCGCCGAAGTGACCTTTGCTGCGGGCCCAAAGGGGCCCCCCGAACGCTGAGCGCGAGGCGATAGCAGTGGCCTGCGAGCCCGGGTTTGTCCACCCCGCGTCCCCCGAAAAAGCCGCGCACTAATGGTCATTCTAACCCGGGCTCACCCTTGCGCGCCGCCGACTCGACCGCGGGCGTTCGCCCCCAGCCGACGCGGCTCAACTCCTGCACCTTCGGGGCGCAAATTTCGCGGCGCCCCGTCGATCCACGAACGCCGCGCGGCTGCAGGGCGCCTTTGGGCGCGCCGCGGTTTGTCATCGGGGCAGCCTGCTGTCGGGCTTCGGTGTCCTGCCGCTCCGACAAGGCCCCTGTCGGTGGCGGGGCCGCCGACCCCCCAGAGGCATGGCGCAGGCAGCTTCGCGCGGCGGGGCCGGCAGCAGACGCGGGCGCGCCGGGGCACGCGGGAGGGGGCGCTCGAGGATCGCGCCCCAACCGCGGCGGTCACACGGCCAGCTCGAAGGCCGCCGAGGGCCGCAGCCGCCGAGCCCGCGGACGGGCCGCCCTGCGCGCGGGGCAGGTCGCCCCCCCGGCCCCGTCGGCGCGCGCCCCTGCGCCACTTGGGCGGCGCGCCCGTCGCGCGGCTGACCGACGCAAGTATGCCGCTGGGCTTGCGGCGCTCGAGGGTCCCGGATGCGCCGCTACGGCTGGCAAGGGCAGCGCTGGGCCCTCGGCCCCGCGCGCGCCGCCGGGCCCCCCCCATGGGGCCCGCGCCGGCACGCCTCCGGGGCCCGCCAGGGGTGTGAAGACGACCTGGGGCATCATCAGAGGAGGAGGGAGGAGGTGAGTGAGCAGGGAGGGGGAATGGGATGAGGGAGGCCTCTCCTCCTCGCCGTGCCAGGGCCCCCCCTTCTACTCCTCCTCCGCCTCCTCCGCCTCCTCCTCCTCGTCCTCCTCCTCCTCCTCCTCCTCCTCCTTTGCTTTCGTTCCCGATACCCGTCTCTGCAAGAGGGGACGGCCGTGCCAGGATCGCCTCATGGTGCTCTTCGACGTCCGCGCCGCCGACGCCGTGACGGGCCAGGGCGGTCCCGTCAGCGTGAGCTTTCGGGAGGTGGCGCCGCAGCGCCTGCTGGTGGGCGGCTACTGCATCGGGCAGCGGGTGCAGTCGGCCATGGACCTTGTCGTCGGGAACAGGAGGGCATTCTGCTCTTCCTCCTCCTCCTCCTCCTCCTCCTCCTCATGCTCCTCCTCCCCTCCCGCCCCGCTTCCTTATAGGCAACTCTTATCTGCCGCACCACCAGACGCGTCGTCAGGGCGGTCCGGTCGCTTCGCGTGAGACTTCCTCACCGCTTCCGAGGCTGGAGCGCGAAGCGTTTTGAACAGGGGGCTTCCGTCTGGGCACCGCGCGCAGTAGCGTGTGCAGCAGCGGCACGGCCGGAGGGAGGGCCGTTGTCGAAACTGTGTGGCCCTCGCCATGGCGCGGTGCACGCTATCCCGCAGTTCACGGGTGGAGGGCGGGCAGTTTGCAAAGTTGGTCTCTCGCCTCGACGCCGCGCACGTTCGTCGTGACGCGATCAGGCGGGTCGTGGAGGGCGGCCGTTTTCAGAATGGGGATCTCTCCCTGGCGCCGCGCAGACTCGCTTCCGCATGACTCAGGGAAGTTCCCAGCTCAAGGGGCAATAGCAGCAGGAGCCTTCTCAGTCGGCAAGTTGTGCGGTGCAAGCAACACTGCATGTACAAGCTTCATGGTGCATAGCACATGGCACATGACATATCATCAGGATGCATGGTGCGCCCAACGCTTTTCCCTGGTGCGCTGCGTGGGGCGCAAGCCATGGGACAGAGGAGGGAGGAGGGAGCCTTCAGTCAAGCTCATCATCAGCACCCTGAGCTCGGACGCAAAGATGGTACCTTTCTCCGGGGTGGGCGGCACGAGGGCAGGATGATGTCCGCGCGCGTCGCGCATCGCGCGGCGCGGACTGCGAAGCTGTGCGGCTAACGCAGCTGTCTCGTCGCGGACCTGGCGCTCGCATAGATCGAGAGAGCGAGGCGGGGACGCCAAACAGCCAATCTGCACCACGGCGTGGGCGAGGGAGGGAGGCGGCCTCGTGTGAACTGCATGCACGGGGGGTGCGGGAGAGCAGTGAGGGGAGAGAAGTGGAGAGTAGGGCCATGAGAGCAGGCCGCCCGCGGGGGCGCGAAGAGAACCGCGCTGCGCGCGCCCTAGTCTGGGCGGCGCGAGGGGGCGGCGCGAGGTCGCGAGGGCGCGAGGATGATCGCGCATCGCGGGGCGCGATGCGCGGAGTTAGGACCCGCGGGGGCGAGAAAAGTGCCGCGGTTCGCGCGCGGAGGTCTGGGCCAGACTGGCTGCCCTCCTCCAAGGGGGGCGGCTCGATGGCGCGAAGATAAACACGCGCCGCGCATCGCGCTGCGCCAGGCGCGGAGTCGGGAGACACTGACAACCATACACCAGCGTTTGGTCCAGGAGAAAAAAGTCACTGGGGGAGGCTGGGGAGGAGAGGTACTAGGAGGAGGAGGAGGAGGAGGAGGAGGAGGAGGAGGAGGAGGAGGAGGGGGAGGAGGAGGAGGAGGGGGAGGAGGAGGAAGAGGAGGAGGAGGAGGAGAAAAGGGGAGGAGGAGGAGGAAGAGAAGGAGGGGGGGAGGAGGAGGAGGAGGAGGAGGAGGAGGAGGAGGGGGAGGAGGAGGAGGAGGAGGAGGAATATGGGGAGAAGGAGGAAGAGCAGGAGGAGGAGGAGGAAGACGAGGAGGAGGAGGAGGAGGAAGAGAAGGAGGGGGGAGGATGAGGAGGAGGAGGAGGAGGAAGAGGAGGAGGAGGAGTAGGAGGATCATGGTAAGGATGGTGATGCTGATGGTGGTGATGATGATGCTGATGATGATGATGCTGGTGACCATGCCGATGCTGATGACGATGCCGATGACGATGACGATGACGATGACGACAACGATAACGATGACGATAACGATGATGCTGCTGCTGATGATGATGACGACGATGATGATGCTGCTGATGCTGATGATGCTTATGCTGCTGATGATGATGCTGATGATGATGGTGATGCTGATCATGATGTGTTGATGCTGGTGATGGTGATGATGGGGGGGATGCTGATGCTGAGGGTCATGCTGATGATGCTGATGATGATGATGGTGATGGTGATGATGATGGTGATGCTGTTACTGATGATGCGTGTGATGGTGCTGATGCCGATACCGATGATGATGCGGCGGCTGAATATGGTGATTATGCTGCTTATGGTGATGATGCTGATGCGGCTAATGACGATGCTGCTGATGGTGTGATGGTGGTGTTGGTGTGCCGATGATGATACTGATGATGCTTCGGATGATGATTATGATGATGATGCTGATGCGTATGCTGATGATAATGGTGATACTGCTGATGATGATGCTGATGATGACGATGATGTTGATGACGATGCTGATGCTGCTGCTGCTGCTGATGATGATGATGATCAAGACGACGATGATGATGATGATGATGATGATGATGATGATGATGATGATGATGATGCTGATGATGATGGTGATGATGATGATGATGATGATGATGATGCTGATGATGATGATGATGATGATGCTGGTACTGCTGCTGCTGCTGCTGCAGAGGAGGAGGAGGACGACGACGACCCATGAGGAGGAGGACTATCACAGGCTAATGAGGAAGGCTAAGGTTAGGCCGACCCGACCCTAACCGAAACCTAAAGGTTACATCCGCTCACCTCTGACGCTCACATGTATCCTGCCTCGCCGCTCCCTCCTTGAGGAGCTGGGCAGCAGGAAAGGGGAGGGCAAGTCGGGGGCGGGCCTTCATACTACTCTTGGGATGTCGGCCGCCTGACAGAAGAGACCACGCACCTTGGGAGAACTTGCTTCGGAAGCGCTCCATACATTCACCTTTGAGCCCTTTGAGGTTGCTTTCCGTATATCGGCCGCACCTCCTGCACACTACAATGAAGGACTCAATGTCAAGATAATCACATACCATAAGTAGGTGCTTCTGGGGGTCTCTAATTAATTGTGAGAGAGTCGCCGAGTTGCCTGGGCACGGCTCCGCCGTGCGGGCTTCCTTGGTGGCGTCGGTTCTAGCTCTAGTATGGCATAGCAGGCACAGCCAGTGACCGTTCAACCAGCCCCAAGTGTGCCTACTTACATTGGCGCGTGCACTCGCACGCCTGGGACCCGCAGCAGGGGGTGGGGGGGTAAGCCACTCATGGACCGCACCCGCTGCCCCCACAGGGGGGTTGAGGCTCTTGGCTGGGGTGGCAAAGGCTTTCTTCCCAGTCTTCGGCGCCAGCGGCGCCCAGAGCGAGAGGGCCTCACCAACAAATCGCACGAACCTCTGCACCCTGCTGCGAGTCTCTTTATAAAATTCAATCTCCAAAGTCGACGGGGCTGGGGACGAGGCAGCAGCATGTTTGGCCACCTTGTCCGCCCAGTCTTTTCCTTTTGCTAGACACCAGTCCCTCGAGCCAGCCTCCAGGGACTCAAGATCCTGGTGGGCCTTCACTTTCGCAATCTCGAGGGACCCGAAACTGGCCTGGGACCTGGCCAGAACAGAGGAGGAGGAGGAGGAGGACGGCGACGACGACCTAGGAGGAGGAGGAGGAGGAGGAGGAGGAGGAGGAGGAGGAGGAGGAGGAGTGAGATTATAAGCAGGATCCCATTAGGATTGTAGAACTTCAGAGGCTCTTTAGAGGAATCTTTAGTCGCCACCGCTGGACGCAAGCTACCTTTACGCTGCTATCTTTTTATAGCCACTGATCGTAAACATACTGTGGCTCAAGTGCTGAAAAGCCCTCTTTGGTAGCGGAGCTATCAGCTCCGCGGGCCACCCGGTCGGCCGGCCCACCCCCGCGCGCTTCCCAGCGCGCCCCCGCGCACCCGCAGGCATATATTTTCATATCAGAGATTCACACGAGTGGATCACGTACGGCGAGTACGCCAACAGCATCGACCACGAGTGGATCATTCACGGCGAGTACGCCGTCCGCATCGACCACGAGTGGATCACCTACGGCGAGTACGCCGTCAGTATCTACCACGACAGGATCATTTACGGCGAGCACGCCAACAGCATCACGGATCAAGCGAACACGCATGAAGATCTACGGAGTATTATTGTTTCAAACCTTTTTCTACGCCAACATGGCGCATCAGCAGCAGCAGTTCAGCGGAGGCCCTGGAGGCAACAACTTACAGCTTGAAGAGTTCACGAAGTTCGTGCCGCCAGGATGGCGGCCGCATATTAGAGGATATACGCTCAGACGATACATGCAGAAGCTGAGACTGTGGTGGCGGATCACGGATGAGGACAGATATGAACGCATTGGACCCTTGATCATATCGCGCCTTCAAGGCGCACCATTCACAGCGGCGATGAGCTTCACATTGCATCGAGACGGAGTACAACACAGAGGAGACGAGGCCATCGCATTACCACCAGTCCCAGCGAATCCAGCTCTAGGCACTGCAGCAGAACAAGCAGGAGTCAACGTATTCTTAGAACAACAGCGAGCACTCTATGAATTGCATGATCAAGACAGAGTTGGAGTCGTGCTTGACTCATTCTTCGAGTGTCAGCGAGGACATCATCAGGACTTACCCGCGTGGATCGCGAATTTCGAGCTGGCCTTCGAGGACGCAGTTGAGGAAGGAGGCCTAATCATGAATGATATTGGACGGAGTCACTTTCTGTTGAAACTATGTGGGTAATCTGAGAAAAGAATGGATGATTTGAAGCTACACATCGCAGGATATCTCACGCAGTACCAGACCCTACGCGGATTGATGATGAGACTGGGCAAGCAGGACCAAGCAGGTCAACATCATGACTGGGCCTGGTGCGGCGAATCAGGTGAAGTAGATGATAACACGGAAGGAGACGACTGGTATGACGCCTACGAGGAAAACAAGTATGAGTGGGGTTATGACGCAGACAGCGGATGGACAGCCACTCAAGATGGAGAATGGTATTATCAGGAATACGAAGACATCTGGGCAAAGTATGACACGGACGGCAACATGACATAATACCTCGAACCCGATCAAGATGACGACTACACCGAGACCTACTTTGGAGGTAAAAGCAAGGGACGTGGCAAGTCCCGAAAAGGTAAGAGCCGTGGTGGTAGTCGAGGCCGAGGTTTTCGTCG